ATTGTATACTTATAATGTGATATACTTGTATAAACATATACGATAATACATAGTCATTAGACGCGCGTCCGACTACCCCAAAACGCAGTCCACACGAATAAATCACATCGATGTGCACTAGCACTTGTCTCGGCGGGGTTGGTTATGACCCCGCCGCCGCCGTTTATTTATTGTTATATAATATTATTATCATGTGATTGACCGCGCTTTGCTTACCACGGATCGTGTGTGATTCACTGCGATTGTATATGGTTCGAGTCGAATTGAACTTTCCGAATCTCTCATAGTTTGGCGACTAATCCCCTCTTAGACAATAGTCATATACCCAAATATAAAATAATAAATCGTGTAACGTTTACGCGCTGCTATATTATATACCTATATATTATATCGTGGGGCGTTATTATATTAAAATCTGGCACCATAATATACAATTTTCAGTCATTTTTTTCTGAATTCAACAGGATGAGAATAAAAACTTAATGAGTCTTATATTAAATATTTAAACTACGTAGGTATTACTTGGGTTTGTTAGTTTTTGTATAGAACTGATGTTTCTAAAATACATAATATCCTGACATTTTAAATATAATCATAATACGGATATGTGTATAATATATACACTGTGTGCAAATGTGCTCATTTAAAAGCCACAATTTATAAAAAAAAATGTTCACCTGTGTAATACCTTTTAATTGAACGGTTCCGCAATTCATACTATATAGTACCTATATTATGTGCCGTTTACAATAACGACTGTATAAAGAAAAATTGTTTTTAGTGGTTGTAAGGTTTAGTGGGAAAAGTTTCGATTATGGATTAAGTTCGTAGCCGTCGTGGGTACCTACACGGCTATACCTACATAAATATATTAATAATATTGCCAGAATTTTATTTTAATTTTTTTTTATATATTTAGGCACATTACGCACAGCGTGTGAATTTTGAGTACAGCTGTTGTTCACTCTATAATATAAACTATACGTCTTAATATTAAGCTAATAACTAATACATAAGTTATAACATTTATGAAATATGAGATTATGAAAATAAAGTCACGTTTTTATATAGTTATAAATCGAATACGAATACGAACGATTGTCATTACACGCTAAACCCGTAATTCCGACTCCCGAGTATAGTAAAACGAACTTATATAATATTATAAATAAGTGTAATAGTATGTACCTATAAGAGTAAATAATCTCATACTGTGTGTTAACGGGTAACCTGTATAAGATCAATGATTATATCATAACTTATAAGCAGTGGCGTACATTCTAATTTGCTCTGGGGGGGGGGGTTAAAAAAATAACCAGCACTAAAACCTTCTCTTTGCAACTACCCATTTTCCTAACAATCAAACACATTACACGTATAAATATTAATAGGCAAAATAGCAAAACAAATACAAAGGTTTACGTAACTCATGGCAGTTAAATATTATTTAATATGCACATAGCTATATATGCACTACAGAATATTATAAATATTATATTATTAATTATTTATAATAAAAATTCTATTGATTGTGATATTCTAAATTCGAATGATTTTTAAAGTCTTCCAATGCATGTTTCCAATCATCATATTTTTTAATACAAATGCTCCCAATTTTTGGTTATTAACACCGGCTTCGTTTTTAGTAAAAGCAACACAATATTTGCAATACGCACCATTGTTTACTTCTGAATAGGCCAACCAGGGAAAGTTAATTAGCCATTTATATTGAAATTTCAACTTCAAAACTTTTTGTAGTTTACCGACTACTGATATTTTGATAGGAAAATTGTAATTAACATCAGGGACCCAAATTTTGCTCAAAATGTCTTCTATTTCACTTTGCGTTAACAATTTATTTGTGTAATGTGCAATGTCAAAAATATTATAACTGGAAGATGTACGATTAATATCTGTAGTCGAAGGTGTAAACTGAGTGATAGGTGTATCAGATGCAGATGCAGTTGATGGTAATGAGGAACTAGAGGAACTTATAACTGTTTGAGTTGCATTCAATGAATTTGGCAATGAATTCATTATTGAGGGTGGTTTTGAAAACAAAGATTGCAGTTTCGATTGTTTTTTTTCAGCCATGATTACTATTTATTTTACCTTCAAAACCTAAAATATATCGAAATCGAATGATAATGATTATGATGTGATAATAATAATTTTTAACTTAACTACTAATTTACTAAATTTATTTTTTAATCAACGTGAAATTAACGAATTAATTTTTTTATTTGTAAGTTAATTTATTTTGTTTTTCATTTTTTTACATTTCATTATTTGAGTCTATTTTGTTGCCATGTCAAAATTTCAATAATATAGACATAATATTATGATATAGTTTGCCGACACTAAAATCTAAAAATAAACAAAAAAAAAACTTCTCCGACGGCAGAATAGAACAGAATGAACGAACATTTCATAATTAAATATTTTAACATGGTCAATAATTATGATAGTGCTATAAAAATAGAATCCATTTCACCGTATTATTGTCACTCACGCGAAATTCAACGATTATAACGCAATCGGTTTTTTCTCCGTTGTCTGATCGAGTCGGTCGAAATAAAGACAATATTAATATGTATTTATATCCGCACGCAACTAACTGACTGTATACGATCAAAATAATGTCTATTTTGATTGATATACCATATTTTACGGCACCCATAATTTCGTTATGAAATCTTTTTTCGTTGTTGGTTAAGTATAGTGTTTACTGTTTACTCAATAGTCATATTATTATGACGTATATTTGTGTATACACGGTTGATTAATAATAAGAAATTCATCAATAATATCACATTATTTTTTATTTTTTTTTGGTCCTGGGGGGGGGGTTTGAACCCGGAAACCCCCCCATATGTACGCCACTGCTTATAAGTACCTTTCGGGCACCTTCCATAAAATACGTTACGATAAAATATTATGCTATTGACATTTTGTCCACCATTGACAGGTATAATATAATATACAATTTGTCGCATAGAATTAATAGACGATAGTGAATTCGACCAGCTCGGCAATATCAAGTTGTAATAAGGCATATTATGTTCTAAAGAGTGCAAATTAATATATGCATATTTTTTGACTTATTTCGATAGTCATTATTATTTTATTTTAGCTTATAAATGTACATAGGTTCAGCCCGGCTGCCTTAGAAAACCTACGGCCCTGTAGAACTATTCTCACACTGTCACAGCTGACAAGTCCGCCTCTGCAAGTGATGGACATTATACATGAAAACCCCACATTTTACTCAAACTTATTCCTCTCTCTTTTTAGTCAATACTTATTACTTACTATATATTATACGATACACACAAATTCATATAATTTAATATACTACATATTATACTACATAGGTACCTAATACGGGCGGGACACTTTTCGGCCAAAATTAACCTTTCCCTTTTCGGCCAGTTCACTTTTCGGCCATTCTGGAATGTCCGTTTTCGGCCAGTACACTATTTTGGTCACCAATTAAAATTTATTTTTTTTTCTATTTAGCTATCATATAGGTAATACAGTTATATTTAATACAGATACATTATAATATTATCAATTTACAAAAAAAGGAACAAAAAGTTATAGGAAAACGTATTTTTTTTTAATAACTAGCACATGCACACATATTCTCTATATTAAGACTTAGGGAGAGCGCACACCAATGCAGTGCGGTTGCGGCGCGTTCGCGGCGCACTGCATGCAGTGCCGCATTTACAATAGAACACACGTTATCTTATGGGAATGCCCACACCGATGCAGTGAGGCGGCGGTGCAGTGACGTTGTGTATGCGGCGCGCTGCATGCGGTGAGGCATGGCGGTTTTTTCTTGCAGTGCGCGTGCGGTGAAAAGTCAAAATATAAACAATTATCGATATTATACATTGTTTAAGTTGTTATACGTTATCAATTGTAATCATTATTCATTGTATCAAACTTCAAACTACCTAATAAGAGTAATAACACAGAGTATTATTTTTTGTATTTTTTAAAAATATATTTACCTATACAAACTTGAAACTTACATATAAAAATGGCGGAGGATTGTGAAAAAATGGTGCAATTGGTTAAGCACATCGAAAACCACCCATGTCTTTTTGATTACAATAGATCGGATTATTCTAACGACACAGTCAAGACAGCAGCATGGCATGAAATTGCAAAGGAAATTAATTTATCAGGTAAATAACATCATTTTAATTAAATTACCTTCTTATAATGAATATGAAGCAGAAACATGTATTGTGTGATGAACGCATATAATATGTTGAATAATTTACAATTATTCACAATTTTTGTTCACCAGCTACTAAATTTCTTACACTGTTCTAGTTTGTACCCTCAGGCAGTATTGAGCAAACATTTTCTATGATTAATTGATAATTAAAGTTTGTAAGTAAATTTTTTGTCCAATACTGCCCTCTAATGTTTAATAATATTGTCAAGGAGGCAAGCGAGGGGTAAACACCTTGGGGGTAATCGGTGTACAAGGTGATGGTAATCATGGGTAATCATAGGTATAATCATTGAAATCAGTAATCTGGTGTACAAAACTTCTGTCGGGTATTTACCCCTCGGAGGCAAGTTAATGTGAGTATTCACTTATTTATTTTTATTCTTTTAAATATTATTACTAATATTTATGACTAATGGCAATAAATGTTACTTCCTAGTTACATAGGTTATAGACTTTATAAAAATGTATTAAACAAATAATGTTTTATATTTATTATAAGAAGCCCAGTCTTATAATTTAATTAAAATAATATTATTAATATTAAAATATTTATACCAAGATTTTAAGTGACATTAGAAATTAACATAGGTTCATCATATTATTATACATAATTATACATACAATAATCCTGAAGCTAGTTTGAGTTCAGTAAAAAATCAATAAGATATCTCATAGACCATAGTATTTATTTGAAACTGTTTAATTTACATTTAAAAATTATTTATTATTTTCCTATATCAAATGTACATTAAGAAAAATTTTCTTGCCAAGGTACCTGACCTTCATTTGATATAAAATAACTACACAATAACTCTCTGTTGTTTTCTGCAACTCTTGTGGGTCTTGCTACTTGAATAAGTGGTAGTTCTTGATTATTTTGTACTCCCATTGAATCAATTGATTGAGGATGTGATGGTGTAGAAAACGTACCTTCTCGCATACGTATGAAATTATGCAGAACACATGCTGCTTTAATAACATATTCACATGATTTTATCTTACAAGCTAGAGGTTGCTCAAATACTCTAAATTTTGAAACAAGCATTCCAAATGAGCATTCTACGCTTCTTCTGACTCTCGAGCACCTAGTAAATAAATAAAGATATATTATTCATTTTTATGAAGTCTTCTTAGGTTAGGTTCCAACTTATATTTTATAAGTGGCTAATTAAATTATTTTAATTAATTATTTTATTTATTGAAATATTATACGAGTTTAGACCCAGTTCATATGAATTAATTAAATTTAATACAATAGCATTCGAAAGATAAATTTTTAAACAGTAAATACTTAAGTTAATAGTACAAACAAAAATATAAATAATATTATATGTATAGCATATACAATAAGATACAATAGCATTCAAATATTTGTTTAATTAATATTATATTTATTTTAATATTATTGTATATACCTGTAGTTAAAAATCCTTCTGGTTTTATTTAATGATCTTTTGGGAAAAGGTCTCATCAGGTTTTTTTTCAATGGGAAGGCTTCATCTGCTACAAAGAAATGTGGGAAAGGGCCCTTGGAGTCCCAGCCAGGTAAAGGCTTTGGGTCAGGGGCATCCAGCAAATCATTTTCAATGGCTTTGCCTAACGAACTTCTTCTAAACACCCTACCATCACTATTCCTACCATAATCACCAACATCAATGGTCAAAAAAAGTCCATCAGCATCTACACATGCCATTAAAACAATACTAAAATATTGCTTGTAGTTGAAAAAAGCTGATCCCGTTTTTGGAGGACATTTAATTTTAAAATGTTTACCATCTATAGCACCTTCAAAATAACATTAATTATTTTCTTCAAATTATATAAATTTAATTTAGGTAGACATTTTAGTATAAAATTTACCTAGGCAAATGGGTATATTCCATAAATCCAAATAACGTTGTGAAACATTTTCCCATTTTTCTTTTGTTGGTGGCGGCATATATTTTTCTTTTAGGCATTCCCAAATTGCTATAGTTGTTTCTGCAATGATATTCCTTGTAGTAGACTCTCCTCTCAAAAAATACATGGAGTGTGCTTTAACGTTACCTCCCATTGCAAGGTATCTAAAGAGTAGTAAACAACTCATAGTACTTATGTCAAATTATTCTTTTATAATTGTATGAGTATATTTATATATTATAAACTTACTGAACATATTTAGTTTTAAAATGTCAAAAATATTATAATTGTGATTATTCATTTTTGTAGTGGCTGATTGTAAAGAAAAGTGGCGTAATATCCGTGGACGATATTTACGCCAACTTAAAGATGTGCCGCCAAGTGGATCAGGGACCAAACGAAAGAAAGTCTATTACCTTACTGATTTTTTACATTTCATTGACCCTTATACCACATCCCGACCTCAAACTGGCAACCTTACAGGTCTCAAAGTAAGTGAAAATAGTATTGACTATTTAGAAGTAGATGAAATAGAATATGGTTATGAACATGAAGAAATATCTATGACAGATACACATAGCATCAATAAATGTATCAAAAAAAAAAGTGGCATGGATAGTTCATCAAAAAAACAACAATGCTCTTCATTAGATGAACTTAATGTTGCAGCTGCTGGGTATTTTAAAGAAAAAAGATCCCAAAAAAAATCAGAAGAATTACAAGATCATGATATGGACTTTTTAAAGAGCTTATTACCTGATATTAAATCATTAGATGCCCATAATAAAAGAAAGTTAAAAATAAACATTATGCAATTAGTCGATGATGCTTGTAAAGAGGCATCATACAATCAGAATACAAATGTTCATAATATTCATGACACTCAATCATATTCAAGACAACCTTCACAAGATCAACAACCACTGTCTAATTTTCAGCCAAGAGAACTATATTATAAGCAACCACCACAGCTATTTTCACATCTTGAACGACCACCTTCATCTTATGACAAAGAACCACCAACCCAACAACAAAGATCTACACACCATAAACATGAAATCGACCCAATGACTCAATATCAACCACCAGCAACGCATGCCCCAATTTGGACTCCTTTATAATGTAACTTATACATTTATGATTTATGTTTAATATATTATTATTATCATTGTTAAAAATTAAAATAAAATAAATTAAAAGGTGTTTAATATTATGTTAATTGTATAAATAAAGTACCTATACAACTTTGATAAAACATTATTGTTTTATGTTATCTTACAATAATTTGTTTAAAAATGTATTGTAGAAAGAAGACAATAACTAATAAGACACTACATATAATTATACAAATACTTTTTTAGAGATAAAAGTTGTAGGCACTATTTAGTAAGTAATAAACAGATGTGATTGCAGGTACTATTCAAACTTATATAAGGATAGGTATCATGAGGGAAAACATTTTCTGATTTTGTTCCTTTGCAACCCTTTCAAGTTAGAATGCAACAAGATGACACATTTTGAAACATTAATATATTTTTATTCAAATGGTTGAACAATAAGACTATTAAATACTTACCTCAATGTAATCAATAACCGTTCTTCCACAGTAATGGCTTTTCTGAAGTGAGTATCTTTTTTATGTAACATAGGCCGCACTAACTCTGATAAGATTTCAAATGATTTCTGTGTCATTCTATAAAAAGTTTGAAATTTTTCAGGATATAGAGAAAGCTCTTTTGCAACAGAAAAAGTTCCTAGAGTGTCTGCGTTTTTCTTTAAGTATGGATGCACCCAATACTTGCGTTTACGTTTTTGACTATCATTATTATTGTTGTTGTTGTTTAATAACAACAACACCAATAAGTCTTCATCAGTACTTGACATTTTATATTTTAATATTTTAAATATTTACAATTTTAATAGTATTGAAATAAAATAAAATAAACAAAACAAATATAAAAATGTTTAATCAAAAACACTAATCACTAGGTACTAACTACTAATCAGTAATCACTGTTAATCAAAATAGTAAAAATAGTTAAAAATAAAAATAAAACAGATTGCGCCGCTGCCGCACTGCATTGGTGTGCTTTGGCGCGCTTTTGCGGTGCGGACGCAGTGTTTTTCGCGCGCTACTGCCGCCGCCGCACTGCAACCGCACTGCTTTGGTGTGCGCTCTCCCTTAAGAGTGATTACTAATTATAGTTGGGAATCCAACATCTACGTATACGTTGAATCTATACGTCGACGGTCGATAAAAGTAATAACTAATAACTATCTAGGCGTATAGAATATCTTTCATCGTTATCTTCGTTCTATTATATCGATTGTTCATAAGCCATAACTCTGTTTAGTGTGTGTAGGTACGTACTACGGCGTGTTCGTATAGTCTTATAATAGTCCGGTGTGTACTTAAATTAGTTTATTTTTTTATACACTATGACAAAATTTATCGAAAGTAATCGTGGTAAACGTATGTTAGTGTTTCAAAATTATAAATTTTCGTATGCAAACACTAAACTTGATGGAACAACGCGGTGGAAATGTGTGGTTCGATCGTGCAGTGTTAAATTATACACTGATAAAAATGAAAATGAAATATCCCTATACAATCATTTTTTTTATGTAAATTGTAAATTATGTATTGTAAATTGTAAATTATGAAAGTTGTGACTGTATTTTTTACGTTTTTAACTTAATAATATTATGAAAATGTTGACTTAATATTTTTCATGTATTCTACTTGACTTAATAGGTACGAGATTTTAAAATAAATTGTAAATTGTAATTATTAAAATTGTGACTATATTTTTAATAATTTAATATACTTAATAATATAATATAAATTGGTATAGTTTAATAAAAAGAAAATATTTTTAATTGGTGACCAAAATAGTGTACTGGCCGAAAACGGACATTCCAGAATGGCCGAAAAGTGAACTGGCCGAAAAGGCAAAGGTTCATTTTGGCCGAAAACGGTTCCGCCCCCTAATACGACGCTCGGGCTCTGTCATATTTGCCTGCGGATAAGGAATTTAACTATTATGATTAATAGCGTGCAATATACGTATTACATATTGTATATTATGCCTGCTTATATTATCCCTACTAATATAATTATATCGTTTTGTTTATTTTCGATTTCGTCAAACTATAAATGCTGTAATTATTAACGACTTCACAAGAATAATATCCATTGACAGTATAGGTATAGTACACACACATAATATTATATACCTAGCTATAGTAGTATAGTATACTACCTAACTATAGTAGGTAATATAAGTTATCGTTGTATAGTGTCGGCGGTCCAGTGTCGTAATACGCTAGTCGTTGATCAATATCTATACAGTTTATACTTAGGGCTTAAACATTTTCTTGCCAGCTTGGCAATATTTTTTTAAATTTAATTTTGTTTTTTTCTCGAAGAGGCGTGAGAGAGAAGAAAAAAAATGATTATAGGTGAAAATTGAAACGTTTGTTTTCGTTGAATATCGGTGGCAAGTCTGCAGAGCATATAATAATATATGTATAATGTATATATTATTATATAGCGGCGTGCCAGCGTATACGTGTCCGGAATGCCTTTTTTTCCCCCGGGATTTACATCTGATGACACGACCACCGATGCCACCACCCATGTATCGTATTTTAACCCACAGTACGTCAGCACCCACCCTTGGGCTTCTTATTTATATTCAATTAGTTTTTAGATTTTCGTCATTGTTATAATAACGCGCATATCGACGTGACAATTCGTGACGAGCATTTTTATTAGGCTTTTTCGAGTTTCTAATATATTAACTATGCAAGGGCATTTATATTTTATAATACCTGTATATATAAATATTGGTTATTATATGTGTTATCACTTATCTTTGTAAATACAAATGTAAAATCAAATCAAATCTCAAAAACGAGATGCATGTGTTTTCAAATATTTTTAATCGCAAACGATACAATAACTTGGTATGATCTCATAATTATTATTGATGACATTAATTTTAAATTTTTTTCAAATACCTAAAATACCATGTTTTATTGTTTTATAGTCACTATCATACATTGTTCCACTTGGTAAAACAAGTAAAAAGTAAGTACCTATAATTACTAATCATACAAGAATAGTTATCTCTCTAGTCTCTACTACTGGCCTCTGAAAGACCTCTTCACTCTGTTAGTTTCACATCGTTTTTTGTACTTATATAAAATATATAAATTGAATTATCTTAACCATTTATTACTTTGAATTAAGAGGACGCCACACCCGTATGTGTTGTCTCCGTCTTACAAATGTACAACATAGCAAAAACTCTTTTGCGAGGGACAACTTTTCTCGCACCATATTTGTTGTAGAACTACCAAATTTTCACAGCACTTAAAGAAGAACTTTATCTGTGCAACAGCGTGCTCTTTTTTTCAATAACATATATACAATACAAGTTATTTGCTTCTAAACATTTGGTTTTTTAATTTGCTTATAAAAATGATTGGATGGTGCTATTGAAAAAAAGAGCACGCTGTTGCACAGATAAAGTTCTTCTTTAAGTGCTGTGAAAATTTAGTAGTTCTACAACAAATATGGTGCGAGAAAAGTTGTCCCTCGCAAAAGAGTTTTTGCTATGTTGTACATTTGTAAGACGGAGACAACACATGCGGGTGTGGCGTCCTCTTAATGCATTGGCATTTTTACAAATATCCTTATTCCTTAGATCTATATAGGTACGTAGTTTCCTAGTTATTTAAACATTTTTTTTTTATTTTACTCTATTATACCATAATTATATATTGAACAACCGAACCTATGTAATATATTAATGATTAAAACATATTGTATACATTTGTATAGTGCCTACTTAATATACGTTTTTTTACTGCTTTAAATATGTATATGTATAACGCCATACCGGACTTAACATATTTAAATATTATTTGAATATATCGATACCACTATACATATAATTACATAATGTTCAATATTGGTCTTAATTACAGTTTACTTGCCTTGTGTCGAATATCTTGTGGCGTTGTCATTGGCGTCCTGCCCGTAATAGGCCTTGGCATCTGGATCTTTCTTGTGCGTCACCATTGCAGGTGGATCGTAATAATCATAGTATAGGTTTCTAGTGGCCAGGCTTCTAGAAAACGTCCAAATAAAACTTTATAATATATTTTGTACACTCATTATTGTTTCGAAAATGAATCACTTTTTCGGAATTGTTCTTCTTGGGAAATTTAAGAAACATGCATACTCATCCAACATTTTTTATTATCCTTATTTCTCCTAACATCATCAATAGTTTGTAGAACAGAATGTTTAGAAAATAGAAATTGAAACCAACAAAATCTGTTGTTGATGAAAAGTCAATAGTAGTTACACACGGGTGAAAAAAATAAGGGTAAAATAAAAAGATTAGAATTGCGCGCACTTATCAGTTTATTTCAAAAATTAAAATACCGAAAAAAGTTAACTTATTTATATATAATATGTATTATATTGTATATATTTATAATATATTCTACCAATGTATTATGACTCTACACGCATACAATATAATATATCAGGTGCGAATGCAACTCAATAGTTTCATATAACCTACCTAAACTAAAGATAGACGGAAAATGACAAACTGGAAAACGCATAAATGTTATTGTTGCATAATAATATAATGCTGTGGTGTGTTTATTCTACAATGTCTATACTCTATACACACCGTCCCTCCGTATGTTTGGTGGTATATTACACCGTAGTAGAAACTGCAGAAAGAGGATTACTGCACACTTCTGAGAGGTTCGCGGGTCGGCGTAGGTTTTAAATAATCTTTCGAATGAAAAGCCAACAGACGAGAAGCCCGTAAATAATTATCAGGTTAATAATTTAAGGGAATGGAAAGGGTCCTGCAAGTAGCTTACGACGAGAGACCGTTTAACCCTTTGTATTAAAAATTGAAATACACGCACGGCGGTGGGAGGGGCGCCCTATTTATGGGCTTAATTATTTCAAACAATGTATATACTGCACCGTGAAGATGTACAATATTGTTTATATTGATGACATAAACATTAGTTATTCTTCGACCGACGATTATTAAGAACCGTTCCGTGAATATAATTTGTTTCTTGGCAGTTTTATGTTATGCGTATTATATAATATTATAATTTATAACTCAAATATGATATATTATGTATACATATTATAGTTACCAATCTCAAATCGTTTATCTCTAAATCTCTTAATCGGCTTCGGCCGAAATTGTGAATTTATATCATGCGATTTTTTTTACAACAACAGAACTTATATAATATGCATTATACTAGCTCAATCGAGAACCTCCAATTTATAATTATAATATATTCTTATAAATACATTTTTCTTGACTTTTTTTCAACTCTTCAACAAATTCATATCATGCAATAAATATTATATTTTCACGAGTTACCTGAAGTTGGTTGGCGAGTGCGGATAGTAATGATCTGTGAAATACCGCGTAGACCTACCACAACAGTCTGCAGGTGATTTCAATTCGGTTTTCATCGAATTTTGCTGATACATCACCGCCGCGCGGTCTAAAAAAACGTGTTTAAATTTATAACATAGAACAAAATAATTTGGATTTGAGATATATATAAATTATAAACGCAGTTGCAACATATATTTGTCTACTTATAAAATTACAATATATTGCATAATATATTAATACCTATGACCAAGATCGACATTCTATTAATATCGACTACTAATAAAGTCGTACGTTTGATTTTTCTTTACCTACGTGAGATGTGCATTGAAAAACGATAATTGGCGATATTTTGTAAGTTAATCTACTGAGTAGGTTATTCAACCTATTAAACTTTAAAGTTTGTAGTGCTAGCTTAAACCCGCACTATATATTAAAGTAAGGCCCACGAAACTCAACCAATGTTAGGTATACATCATATATATATCGTTGAAAGACGTTGTTGGACAAAGAGAAATAAAGTTTCTAAATGTTTAAATTGTTAAGTTCAAATGTTCATTAAATCTAAGTATATTTAAATAAAAGCTCAGAATCTTTTTAAAATTACCTAAATTTTTATACAAATCACAGATGATGAAAAATAACCAAACATTTTTTAGGTATTTTTTAACAGAGCTTTTGTTTTAACAATACATAAATTATATTATTGAAAAATTATTACTATTTTAACTTTTTACTTCAACAAATTTTAAATGTCATAAACTCATAATATATTGACACGTATAACCAGAGGCGTTCTCAGGATATTTCAATGGAGGGGGATGAAAAAAATGGTTTCAAAATAAGCCGTACCTAAGGGTTTTGCCTCACAACTCCCATATTATAATAATGAATATTAAAAAAGAGGGTAAGTGGATGTCACTCTGCTGTACAGTAGATTACAATACTTAGTCACTGTATAATGGATTGTATTAAATTTGAATTCAATGATATCATATCATTGTACACGAAAAACGATTCTGAGCGGAGACGGTTTGTCAGTCTGGATATTTTATTATAGCCTGTAAGTTGAATTAATAATATTATAAATTACGATAAAATAACTAAAATCATTATTTTTATTTTATTTGTTACAATGGTGATAAACAAAGTGTTAGAAATTGAAATCACATTTTTAGAGGTTTTTGAAATTTGTCGGTGAAATTGTAATGTGTCATTAAATAAATATTGAGAAAATTGAAAAATTACCTCTCTAAAGTATCATCTTGATAAAATTTGCTAAAAGAAAAGATATACTATATGTTAAAAGCGAAGAACTGCTTCTGGTAGAAATTTTTTATGCAGGATAAAATAAAAATAAATATAAACAATATTGAAAAACCAATAGATCCCTCACTCCGCTCAGAATCTAATAATATTGATAGTAATATAGTTGATAATATCAAATAATCAATTCAAGTCATATTTATTGTTCTTTTTATTTAAACTATAAAAGAATGTTATGAATCAGTTTAAATCAGGAATGGAAAATGTTTTTAATTTTTGCGTTTTCGTTTTTGATTTCGTAACAAATTTTTTTTCTGTGTTTGGGATTTTTTGTTATGGTTTTTTGTTTTTGTTTTATTCATTGTTTTCGTTTTTTTTTCCGTTTACTAACGTTTTTTAAAAACGTTTTCCATCCCTGGTTTAAATTATTTATTTTATTTTATCACTGTGGTGTTATCATTGTGTATCTTACCTTTACATTTTTTCTGACGCTGGGAATTTATAAAGTTGACGGAGTGATTGTTTACAAAAATACAGTACGAATCAATTGTAAAGCGAATTGCCTGTTACATGTTATAATTATCAGTGATAAATAATAATATTGTTTATGGCTGGTGGAATCAATAATTACGATAAAGAAAAATTGCAAAAAATAAAATAATAACTACCAAGTCAATATTGAAAACACAAACACATATCAAAAGTAGACAAAACGTGTATTACTAATATGTAAAAAAATAAAGAACCTTGGGGGGGGATCTATCCCCCATATCCCCCCCCGTGAGAACGCCCATGCGTATAACATAATGTTTATATAACATGAATAGATGAGTTTGTTATTGGACCATTTTCAAAATTAAGAATGTTTATTTTAAATATAAGTAGGGTAAAGTTCAAAAGTTCGTTTTATCTTTGTACAACAAATTTCCACCAACAACGTGTTTTGATACTATACATTAATTGAGATTTTAGTTTTTTACTTTAATATAGATGTGAAGTTAACACTACTATAGTAGTTATAACTTTAAAGTTGAATTACTTTTTTCTTTTTAGTTTTACTTGTTTCAGACAAATTTCCAACAACGTTAATCGAAAATTGTTTGTTAAAATTATATAAGATTGATATGCTAACTTTGTAGTGAAAGCTTCATGTAGGTCTATACAGCAGGAAGTTACATAATATTTTTATATACTGAGTAATTCTTTTAATAGTAAACACTCATTATTATGAAAATAATTATAGTACCTACAATAAAGTTTTTCAAAATATTGTTTTCACATAATTTGAAATCATTACAAAACAAAATTTTTTAAAGTTCTAATGAGTAATTGGCTAATTAATTAGTTATAATAATATTTTAAGATATAATATAAATGCATACTGCACATAGTAGCACAGGCGCACAGATATGGTTAGGTACTCCACAAAATGTTGGTCCTTTATACAAACTTGAATGCTTATCTAAACTTCATGAGTCACTTATAATATTAATTAGCTAAAATTTCAAAACTCGATTTACGTAGGTATACAAAATATATTCTCAAAAATATATCTTGGTTCGAAATATAAAATTAAAAACGAATGTGCCATTCAAAAAACTGGATTACTAATTTTTTTTTTTAAACATTTAGTTGTAACAAATTATGTTAAAATAATATTACTAATAGAGTTATAATAAGCTAGTGCTTATAAAATTAAAAGTATCACTCTGTATATAAACACCGAGTTTTTAATATTTGAAAGCCCTTTCCGCTAAACAGCTGCCCGCATATCATTATGTATACATAATGTATATAAGTTTTCCAACCCATAAATCTGACCTCGTGAATTACCGAGGGTGTTTGTCTATATATAATTCGGTTGATTTTTCAGAAGGGGATATCGTCTGTATAATAGATTATAGACATATACCCCTTCGTTAACCCCAACTAATACTATACAACAACTATATACTAAATACTAATAATACTATGTACAATTTACTGTCTACAGTCTACTTATATACGGAGCAACCGTGACCGCGTGTCCGTGTATACCTATAGGAACATTGTATACGTTTCATCATAACAAAATTATCCGCGCAAGAGATGATTTTTTATGCATTTTCCCGTGGTTATGATTCAATGTAGCAGTGTTCAACAGAGTACAGTACATTTATATTATATGTTATATATTTATTGTTGAATTGTTTTTTTTTTTCGACCATACTGAAAACCGTACTAAATTAATCGAGTTCTTTATCCGTCATCGCAGGGAGATAATAAATAATTATATTTTAGTCTCGTATCAATTTCCCCATTGTAATATCACATAACACAGTGTTATAGCCTATTGGTACATATATGTATATATTTTCAAATTCAAATTTTCATAAAAAAAACTACACTATTTTAAGAACATTTTTTTCTTCTCGTCCCATTATTTCTATACGTATAGGTATTACAAATACTATTTGCGTTAAGTGGAATGACAAGTTTGTACCTACAGAATAATTTAATGATTTATTAAGGTACTTAATTTATTATAAACTCGGCTTACCCGAAACCACTCTTATGTAAAATTATCGTTGTGTAGATTACATTTACATATATACTATATAGGGAGTCTAGTACCTTAGATCCAAGTTGTAACGATTATTGAGGAACAAGTTCTCAGCAGAATTTGAAAAGTGTAATATTAAACATGCGTTGTTATTGATATGTTTGTAAATCCCCAGTAATAACTTTAATTGTGTTCTAATTAATAATTGTCGTGGTTAATGTTTAGATACGTACTTATCAATCATTTTTTGATTCAGTCAATTCAGATGTGTGTCGGCTATATTTATTATTTAATATTATAGTTATGTCAAATAGGCTAAATATACTATATAGGAGAAGTCTGCTCCGGACTACAATTTCCGGCTCTGAAATTTTGATTTACAACGAGACTCGTCTCGTCCTTTTCAGTTCTTAAATCTTTATACTACCTATGTCTATATTATACAATATGAATTATTGTTTCAATCGTTAAATTATTTTTCTAAATATTGACTAAAAAGCTTTGCCAAGCTAAACAACTACAATTATGGATAATTGAATATCTGAAAATGTTGGGATTAAAAAACCATAATTAATGTACTATATAATAATAATAAATAATAATGTATATTGTCGTGTATTCCTAGTGAGAAAAATTAAACACGTCTAAAATGTTGAGTAAATCTCAAAAAAAGATCTGAATATTTCAGTTTTGTATACGATTCACGGACAGTTGACATAGTTTTCTACTAGTAATAATAACCATGGTATACACAGTAGGTACACTATACTATATACTATATAATATATTGTATACAAAGGTATACCATATATCTAATATATAATAATATGTAATGTGTGTATATATACATATATATTATTTGTATGAAATATTTTGCGGTCCATCATATTATTTCCGTTTTCTTGTAAGATATTATTATGTATCGACATACACGTCATGCTTGCATGTGATGTGATCAAAGTGCCCTTTAATCGAAATTCTAAAGTACAATAATAAAAAAATACAAAATAGAATTTAAAACGTTTTACCCCCCGCTAGACCGTTTCACTTAGTGGGTTTTCAGCGAGACACCGCAGTGTCGTCGCGTCGACGTCGTCCCTTATATATTTCAAAGAAAATCTGCTCCGAACGACGACGTGTATACCTGTGTGGCTGTGTATTATGTATAGACATATATAACGCGTATAATGTATATACGTCGTCTTAACAATGTGTTATGTGATAATATAATATACTCCTATATACTTATTATTCCGTATTCGTCCTTCGAAAATCGAAGTTATAAGAGCCAAATTAATAATTCTTCTGTTCAAACAGAGTAAACATACATACTTCATAAGTACATTTCACTCGCTGTGTATTGTCACTTTTTCATACTGACGGATTAACCCACCTAGTTTTAGTCGCGAATGGTAATATTATATATAGACTTAATATAGGTACAGTGTAGTACACGTATATAGTAATAAACTAAAACTGCAATAGTAGATTGAAGCTTCATACTTTTAATAATTTACCCTCCATTAATATTGGTGTATATTTTTAATTTGGCTAAAATGTTTTTATTTTTATTGTTTACGTAAAAAAAGTTCAAATTAAGGTTCACCTATCCAGAACCACCTGCAAGGAACCGAATTTCTTAAGCGAGGTGTATACCTACAATTATTAAATTTATAGTATAGTACCTGATTTAGATTTCGAATTAAATTTTGCACAAACGATATTTTCCAAATTTCGTTTAGCTGTAAGACGATCTTTTAATAAATATTACTTAATATAGTGTTCTTCGCAGTGCAATAGGTACAAGATAGCCGCAAAGTCTTAACTCTTATGCGTTAAGTGGGTAAACGAATTAGATCGAGCACGTGTCAGAGTTTGTCTACCACGCTTGATCGATATATATATATAGGTACATACTTATTGTCCACCGTAGACAAGATAAGTTGTCGGTAGTGCACTTTTCATTGAAAGAATATTTGTGTCAACACAATAATAGGTATATAAGCTACCAATGATACATGATATCGACTATCGAGGGAACCCCACCCTTTTATTACTAATTGAAAAAGTATGGTATATAATTTAATATATACTATATTAAAGTACCTATGTTCACTTACAAAATAAGTACTTACGTCTTACACATTTTAATTTCACCTATTAATTATTAGGTATTTATTATGTTTTATATAATATATGTTTTTTTATATTGTACATTATAAATAAGATATTATAATACAACTATACAAGACTTATTGCAATAAGTCACATGCAACACTGATGAAGCCGTCAATTTCGATAATATGTTATACGTCTTTATATAGATACCTACTGATAATAAGTAATAACAGTAGGTAGGTGTAGGTATAAAATATTAGTGATGTCCATATTCTTACCTTCTGGATTCCAGTTTTCTATCATTTGGCTAATAGGTTTACTCGACAAATGCACGTATACGTTTTCTGTGTAATAAACATAATATTATATATTTGAAACGTTTTAATCGAAAATATTTCAATCTACAAGGTTATGAAATAATATGATATATCTCAATGTGATATTACCAACCCTTACCCGTTTGTTGGGGGACGTCATATATTCCGTTTCTCTTATCGATTTCTATTTCACTGTTTTCGATTACTCCCGTATACGACGGATTTCGGTTGTTGAACTGAAAAAAAAACATTGGCAATATTATTTATTTGTGTCAATTATAGGTATACAAGCACCATGGTACCACCCATACTTATAAAACGCGATTATTATCTAGGTATATTAATCCTTTTTTCTATTTTATTATTGTACCTTATTATAATTATTATATTTATATTTGCTAATATTACTATTTACTAGGATACAAATAAACTAAATACTAATACATAAAGTATGTCCAATGAAGATGTATTAATTAATATAAAGTTTAAAGTGGTCCGGGAGTATAACATTATAATGTAAGGCCTACTCGGCTACTCATCACTTAATTAGTTCATTTTCACGAAACTGTATAATATTAAGTATTAACATACAATAAATACATATCACATATGTATAATAGGTACTTATGTCCTATAGGTATATTATATATATTATATGATTTAACAAAAGCCTACTCCAGTAAGGTAGTTGAATATACAAACATATTTGTACAAAATTCTTATAATATTTTATTTTATCGGTTTGGTTGTAGGTATATTGGACTGTATTGACATACTGTGTACCTACAACATTTTGGGATTTTGGGAATTAAATATTTTAAGATACGAATTTTGCACAAATAGTCCACCGTTGGATTCTTCTTTTACTTTGGCTGAAATCAAACGAGAATACATTCGGTGCTAAACCAGCAGTGTCATTTTTGCCAACTGTTTCCACAATATACCGATATTTAGCGTTGACGAATTAAATTTTATCGCAAAAATTATGAATAAACGTGATTCGAAATCACGCGATGCAGCCCGCGAATAGCGGAAACACCATAGCGCGCGCCGTCCGGAAATGAACGCAAATGACTGGGAAACCGCGCTGTGGCAAAATCGCATTAGCGATGAGACTGTGTGTGTATGAGTGTGTAAGTTGTATGGTCGCTGTATGTCTTTGGAGCGAGCGATCTTCCAACTACGGTGGCGACGTCTTCTAATTCGGTTTGCGCTATACGATTTGGCTTTTGAAAAGTCATTTATTTTTCCCGACTGTCCTTCCTCCTCGTCTGTGCGTCGGTATTCATTTGGTCTCGCAAGCGCGTCGTATAATAATATAGTAACTAATAACAACTCAGCCGTCGCGGGACGGTATGGGGTCGGTGGTTAGGCGGGAAACTGTTTCCACGGTGCATTTCCGCTGCCTTAGGATTTGCGTGGCATTTGAAATATTTTTTAAAACCTTTTATTTTCGTTTTTAACGTCTCGGTCGATTTTATTTCAATTTCGATTTTAGTCAAATTAGATTTCCTGTACCATAATTATTTTCGCTCTCCTATGTGATGTGACAGTCGTACTCGCACTAGTTTAAACCTACGTTTATAAAGGGTGTAACAGTAAAATCGGTTGTATAGGCTCTGTCTTATATATATGTATGCATATTATATATGAGTGTATTATTATATATAATATTATATTATAGTGAAAACCACCCTTCATATATTTCCTGCAATATTGTGATCACACAAAAAATGGTTTAAAAATTGTGGCTATATATTGCTGAAATCGATTTGAGCCGTGTTTTGACACAAACTTTTTATAAATTTTAAAATATAGAAAATCATTTATGGCACTGAATAATATCAACTGTTTGAAAAAAACCACTATAAATCTGTTCTCTATAATTTTGATTAAAATATATAGGTAGGTTTAGAAACTTTTATTTTAAGAGTGCGTATCCGCCAAACTGGACTTGGAAATTGATCACTTCATGTGTGACAGAGACAAGAGGCAACTGATTTTACTGCTGCGCCCTCTTCATCAACGTAGTACGGCACTGTATAAACATGGTAATATGTTATAATACAGTGTTTTTTTTTTTATAACGAACACAATTTACGGGTTTATAATAAACCACGATGACGAAATATATATAAGGGGTGCTGAGATAGGCGTCGATAATGAAAATGACTTATACGAAATACTATATAATATGCGATCGTTCAATCGTTGCACATTAAATATAATATAAATAGGCACAATATATCATCAGATTCACCCGAAGAAATGTATATGGTTACCCCACTCCCAGCGACGTAACTAAATGTTTTGTGTCCCCCTATAAGCACAACTAAAAAAAAAACAATATTTTTTCTGTATTTGATTTATAAATTGTAATAATATTTTTTTTTTTAGTATCATAATAATATGTTGTATTGTATAAAATGTAATGCACCTTATAAATTGTACCAATATTACTAACAATACCTCTAAAAGTATCTCTAATTATTGTTACCTATACACATTACTTATAGCTGCAGTTAGCGGATATTCAAGTAATTAAAGCTTATATTTTATAATATAAAATATGCATATATATTTTATATTCAACAATAATGATAAAATGAATTTCTAATTTAAGAGTAAACCATACATCCATTACAGGCATGGATTAACGTATAGGCAAAGTAGGCATTTGCCTAGAGCGCCGAAATTTTAGGGGCGCTCGAGACGAGAAATAATATAGAATATTAGAATGACATATTTATGGATAACTTAGAAACTAACTACACACACAAAAAAAAAAGGCCAATATGTAATTGAAAAAATATTATAATATTATGAAATTACGTAGACATAATACTATTAATAAAATATATTAGTTATAAAAATACGTAATTCCCTTCCAATTATTTAAAAATAAATGAAAAGATGTGGCCTGTGTAGCTTTTGAGGCAGCAGTATGTTGTTTAACAGGATAGTGGTTATATAATGGTAATATCACATAATAGATGTAATATCTTATGATAAATAGTAATAATAATATACGTCCGGTACCACAGTAACTTATTTTAACAGAAAAAGAGCTATTAGAGATTTCTACTGTATCACCAGCATGTATTATGTTAAAATATATCAAAGGTGAGGCATTAGATGGAATCTTTCCAAATGTGGAAATAATTTTAAGAATGTACTTAAGTAGGTACTGCTGTTTCTAATTGTACGGGAGAGAGGTCGTTTTCAGTGTTGAAAAGAGTGAAAAATTATATGAGATCTTCAATGAAAGATGACCGTTTAAATGCACTTTCTCAATTAAGTATTGAGTCAGATTTATTAAAAATACTAAATTTAGATGAAATTATAAATGATTTTGCCACCTCAAAATCAAGAAAAAAAAAGTTTCTCTAATTAGTTATATATAATAATTAAATATAATATAAATTTCATAAATGTATATTCATATTTCATACCTTAAAAAAATATATTGTAATATTTGTAAGTTTGTAGCATTACTTTTGTGTATAAATATTTATAAGTTGTATTAAAGAACATACATAATATAAAATATGAGTAATGAGGATGAATAATGCCATAAAATTATTGAGATATCAAAGACCTGCTAACCTATGAATTATGAAGTGAATATGCGTACCTCATATACAATATGGAATTACGTAAATACTAGATTGATAAACCGTTATTTAGGCACTTGCGGAAGCTATAGCTAATTATAATTTAAGATGTTAATCCGTTTAAAGATTTTGTGAATTTTTATCGTTTTACTATTTTGTACTTTTTACACTATTATTTATTTATTCAATATGAGTTAACGGGTTTATGAGGTACTCTTATGCATTAAATCAAAATACTTTAACTAGGTACCTATAAAAACTTTAAATAGATATGTGCCATTTATATTGCTGCATTTAGCTATATATCATTTATTGTAATTAAATAGGTACCTAAATAATATATTGAGTCGTCGGAATATTTTTTAGAGTATTGATATACTTCGACACATAAACAAGTATGTTGTCATTCAAAAAAGAAAACACTTATTAATTATAACCATAGCCCATAGGTAGGTACATTAAACAATATATCAAAAAAGCTACAACTTATCGAAATAATGAGTGTAGACACTTAAATGGATCCCCTTTACATATTTTACTTTAATAGCCATACTATCGTACAGAGTATAGTCGATAGGCGCAATATCTGAATCACTATGGTTTAATATAAATTATATAATATTGTATTTGTAATTTGTATACATAAAAATTACAAAAAAAAAATGTAGGTATTCTTTAACTCTTATAAAAATAAACCTATTGGTTCAACAATATTGTAATATTATCATGATGTTATCGGATTTAATATAATATAATATAGTATGCGGGGTACTTACTGACGATAGTATCTTCGGATGATCTACCGGTTCGTCCTGCACCTGTTGTTCGCGCGGGCTATTGATCATAATTTATTCGAATAAACAATATAAGTAAAATAAAAGAATTATAATATCTAAGTTTAGTTGATAACTATGATAGGTAGATGTATAAAAATATAATACAACGTTCGAAACGAAAGCTATTAAAGATAGATAGTCGTCTCAGGTGCGCCGCGGTTTTCAGTTTAAACTTTCCGAGCAAAATGATACCGATGCCACGCGACTAGAACTGAAAATTCTGATCGTAATCTCATGCAATACGATTATTATAATACTATTGTTATAGTCGCATATAGAATACGTGCAGATATTGTCATATACTCATATTATGGAGGTATTGCAAAGGTGACGACAAAACGGACCGAAATTCGACGGTGGCGGTGAAAAACGCGCGTGGCCCGGTGGGTGATACTGACGTGCGTTGGAGAGCGGCGTTTTCCTGCGACCAAAGCACGCAAGTCCTCGGCGAAACGCCGGTCCCCGCGGGGGGGCGGGACCGTATCCCAGGAGAGGCGTCCAGCCTTCGACCAATCGGACGGCGAGCGCCGACTATATATATATATTATAGCGCAGAGTTCTATTTACTCATTTCGCTGTAAGACCGAAGATCCTGCGAGAGATGAGGAGAGTGAGAGTAGGATAGTTTTTTCTATCGTCACCTGCCAAACACGGAAACCTGCAGCTAACACCCAACAAGCCGCGGAACTCGGAAAGTGTGTTTTTACCAGATACGCATTATATTGTAATTCCTGTAATTTTAGTATAGGCCTTATAATATTGTCGTTGTTGTTCTTGTTATTTATGCCCGTGAGTGCCACAATTTTTCATTTTTTTTTTTTTTTTTTTGGGGGGGGGGTGGCATAATACAACAATAAGGACAGTAATAATACAAAGAAACGATTTACTTCAGTCGTCGATGTTTGAATTTATTTTATGTAAATTTAAACATATTATTACAAGTATCTCTCAAATATAAAGTCAAACCCGTGATGGCAAGATTTATTAATTATTATTGCATACTGTGATTATATCAATAAAAAGTAAATTACGGCGTAAAAAGTTGCGTTCTTTTTTTCGTTAAGAGTTTAAGACGTATTTCACGTATTAGTTTGTACTTCACGTAGGCACGACAAAAACATAATAATATGTCTGTTCAAGGTTCAACTTGTATAAATATGTTTTGTTGAAAACTTGAAAATAATATTCTTTTTTTTTGTTGTACGTAGGTGTAGTAAAAGACTAGTCGATAGAAATAGTAAATAACAAAAAACATAATCTCTATAATAGGTATATACACATTAGTACATTACCCATCACTACATCGGATTATATAAGACCCTGTATTAGACCTTTGGTATATATAGAGTATAAATATTTGTTTAAAAAGGTAATAAATGCCTAGGTACTGAAATTGTTTTTGTATAAACAGTCTTACGTGCAAACTGCAGCAGAAAACATAACACGTAAGCATCCCTATTTCTAACAGCAAAAGTTTCTATGTTCATACTATATAATATGGCAAACTATTTAAAAATACAATTTTTTTAAAGTGTAAAAACAAAAAAAGAACTCAACCAAATAATTTAATACATTCCCATTTGGAGACCACTACCTATAACAGACCTAGTTAATGACATTGTTCCAGACAAAATATTGAACACATTTGCTACTATCGATAGAAAATTATATTTATCACTTTAAATTGTAATATAATAATAAGCTATAATAAAAAAAAGGTGGGTAAGTGGATGTCGCTCTGCTGTACAGTAGGTTACAAGAGGGTCACTGTATAATGGATGGTATTAAATTTGAATCCAATGATACAATATCATTGTATAAGAAAAACGATTCTGAGCAAAGACGGTATGTCAGTCTAGGTTTAAGACATATTATATACATATCTATCATCTATGGTATTAAAAAAAAATTGACCTATAATAAATTCCAAATTAATCATATCACAATATCCATTAGGTACTTATAACACGTTATACATCAATAACAAACCCTGTTACTATCATAGATATATAATATAGTGTACTTTAGAAGTTTCAAGTACCCACGAATAGTATTATACACTCACAACAAAATAACTAAAATAGGTATGCTAGGTTTTTGATTATGTAATTTCGTCCCAAATTTGAACTTAAAATGTCTGTAAAAAATAACTGTGCTCATATATTTTTTAGATTTTTTGGCTACAGTATGAACTATTTATGAGAATCTTTTTTTTAAATTTTCAATCCTTAGCTATAAAAACTGAACATTTTATAATTTATTAACTACGATGATTGATAATTTTCGAGATTTTGATAAATTTTGTCAAAATGCGATCTTTAAATGCTTATAAAAAAAAACTGTGCCTATATATTTTTAATATTTTTCCACTGCTATTGTAACAATATATCAGGAGCCTTGCAATAAATTTTTACACTTTTTGGCCCAACAGATAAAACTTTATTGATATTTATAGAAAAAAAAACTAAAAAAATTGAAAACTGAAAATGTCCGTAAACGGCTCAAAAAGAGTCAAAATATTTCAAAATTGTATGGTGTATAGGAAATTCTAATATAAACATTCAGTGAAATTTTCATGTATATACAGTAATTCGTTTTTGAATTACAACAAAATAAGGAAATCGCCACATGAGAAATCGAGTGAATATCCAATGTTGTAAAAATTTGAATTTCAAACGCTTATAAAAATTTAATTTGACTTTCTTATAGAATTTTTTTTTTTGATAAATGTAGAAAATCTCATAAGGAATCTTGTATTACATTTTCATATCTTAGATTTAAAAAGAAAATTTTTTATGAATTTCTAACTCAAAATAATTTGCAAATTTTCGTGATTTTTCCATATTTTGTCATTTTTTGAACTTTAAATGCTTAAAAAAAAAAAACTGTGGCTAACGATTTTTAATATTTTTCATCTGTCTTTGAAACAATATAGTAGGAGCCTTGTATTAAATTTTCAAGTATTTTTACTCAACAAATAAATTTTTATTGATATTCATAAAAAAAAAAACTAATAAAATTGGAAACTGAAAATGTCCCTAAACAGTTCAATATAAATCAAAATATTTTGAAAATGTTATCGTGTATAGTAAATGCATATATAAACAACCACTGAAAATTTCATGTATCTACGGTCATTTGTTTTAAAGTTACACCAAAAACCAAAATCGATTTTTTGGAAAACCGATTTTGCGTAAAAATTCCCGTTTTTCCTTAATTTTTATTTTGTTTTTCCCGGCGCTTTTGAAAACTACTGGGAAATTTAAATTTTGACCTCCCAATGCACCAACGATATTCACTTTCCAATTGAACAAGATACTGAAGTTGAAAATCGAAACATTATTTCGACTACTTATCGTGTACACAGACACAAAAAAAATAAAAAAAAAACACACATCATTGTAAAATCAATACATTCATCGTTTCACTCAGAATCTAAAATATAATAATATACTATACTAAAAAAATTTATTCTTTAACATTTTTTTGTTGGTATAGTGAATAATTTAAATATTGTTAGTATGTAATGTTGGGGGTATGGCCCGTAGGAAGGGCTAGACCCCCCCCCCTATGTGGGTGATTCATATAAATTATAGCACCACCAAGATTTGAACTAGTTGCGCCACTGACGTAATTTAATCATATAAATAAATAAATACACATTCGACAGTCCACACTCTACAAGTAGATACTATTCAGTATAGTCAACCAGAAATTGAAAGACTAGAACTGATGCGTATACGTATAACCACACAGGTAAATAAAGGACTATGGGAGAACGAAATATAATTTATTTTTGACATAAAAAATTTAATAATATTCAGTTCTTATTGCCATTTAAAATTTACCAGTGCGAATGATATCTGCCAATTAATGATAAATATTAATTGTAAATTGTTATAAAAGTCATATTATTGTACAATTGTACATTAATCACCTATAAATTTAAAAGTCTGATGTCGTATTATTATTTATTATATACGTGCGACGTGACTACTTTTCCAATGTCCTACACTCCTACGAGTCCTACTTATTAGCTTAACACATTTTAAGATGATATTATACTTAAGATATTTAAGGTATATAGTCGTATAGATATAGGATATTAAATCGTGGTACCTATATTACAAAAATTAATAGCACTTAGCACATGTGACTATGTGAGGTTACTACAATGCGACTATTGGTTTTCATATAAAAAATTTCAAAATATTATACTATTTTCCATAACTATAGGTAATTATGGAAAGTAGTTTCCATCAGTATTCAAATATTCATTATTTCATTCTAAATGCTACCTATTAATTTTTTGTAAAAGAGTTTTAACTTTTAAAAATGATTTTACTCGAGTAATGGGACACATTACTGAATGGCACGGGCCACCGGCCACGGACTACTCGTGATAATAATACAATATTATACATTTATACATATAATATGAACCAGCGTCTAATAATTCATCTATGGTCTAGCACTACAGGCACGATGTAGAAATCTAGAAATTTGCTAGACGTGAAAAATAATGCACCAGAGTGTTGGACCATATAATTTACACGGTTTATCATCCCACATTATCCCGCATCGGGATAATGAACCATGTAAATGATATGGTCCAAAGATCCCGGTGCATTATTTTTCCCACCGGTTTAGTCTAGCGAATTTCTATGAATCGACACGTTTTGTGACGTCCTCCCGTTCGAGAAACACAGTCGCATTATTCTAAGACCGTGGTCGCAAACTCGCAACAATGCGGGTCTTATCTTTTCGGCGTTACGCGTGATAATGACAACGAAAACAAATCAAGCTAAAACATTAAACAAATTGACAAAATAAAAAATAATGGATAGGTAATAATATAATGATTATAATATGCTGTGACATGTGAGTCCCGAGTTTTGTGTTTCATGTTATGTTCGTCGCTCTCAAACTTTAACTAATTCACTGAAAAATGTTTTGATTAAGGGTGACTTTTGTTCCAGAACTAGAAACTGTTGATCAGTCGAGTGTTT